GAGAAAAGGTGGGTGGAAGATGAACCTTGATAGGGTATGCATGGGGCTTTGATGATATTCTAAACGTAGGAGTCATAAATCACCGGTCAGCAAGAAATTGGTTTGCAAAGTATCGTTCTGGAGGAAAGGTGGGTGGAAGATGAACCTTGATAGGGTATGCATGGGGCTTTGATGATATTCTAAACGTAGGAGTCATAAATCACCGGTCAGCAATAAATTGGTTTGCAAAGTATCGTTCTGGAGGAAAGGTCGGTGGAAGATGAACCTTGATAGGGTATGCATGGGACTTTGATGATATTCTAAACGTAGGAGTCATAAATCACCGGTCAGCAATAAATTGGTTTGCAAAAGTATCGTTCTGGAGGAAAGGTGGGTGGAAGATGAACCTTGATAGGGTATGCATGGGACTTTGATGATATTCTAAACGTAGGAGTCATAAATCACCGGTCAGCAAGAAATTGGTTTGCAAAGTATCGTTCTGAAAAGGTCGGAAAGGTGATAGGAAGATGAACCTTGATAGGGTATGCAGGGGACTTTGATGATAAATTCTAAACGTAGGAGTCATAAATCACCGGTCAGCAATAAATTGGTTGAAATTAGTTTGCAAAGTATCGTTCTGGAGGAAAGGGTGGAAGATGAACCTTGATAGGATATGCATGGGACTTTGGTGATATTCTAAACGTAGGAATCATAAATCACCGGTCAGCAATAAATTAGTTTGCAAAGTATCGTTCTGGAGAAAAGGTCGGTGGAAGATGAACCTTGATAGGGTATGCATGGGACTTTGATGATATTCTAAACGTAGGAGTCATAAATCACCGGTCAGCAATAAATTGGTTTGCAAAGTATCGTTCTGGAGAAAAGGTCGGTGGAAGATGAACCTTGATAGGGTATGCATGGGACTTTGATGATATTCTAAACGTAGGAGTCATAAATCACCGGTCAGCAAGAAATTGGTTTGCAAAGTATCGTTCTGGAGGAAAGGTCGGTGGAAGATGAACCTTGATAGGATATGCATGGGAATTTGATGATATTCTAAACGTAGGAGTCATAAATCAGCGGTCAGCAAGAAATTGGTTTGCAAAGTATCGTTCTGGAGAAAAGTTTGGTGGAAGATGAATCTTGATAGGGTACGCATGGGGCTTTGATGATATTCTAAACGTAGGAGTCATAAATCACCGGTCAGCAAGGAAATTGGTTTGCTTGAAAGTATGCATCGTTCTGGAGGAAATCACCAGTCGGTGGAAGATGAACGGTGGAAGATGATAGGATATGCATGGGACTTTGATGATATTCTAAACGTAGGAGTCATAAATCACCGGTCAGCAAGAAATTGGTTTGCAAAGTATCGTTCTGGAGGAAAGGTGGTGGAAGATGAACCTTGATAGGGTATGCATGGGACTTTGATGATATTCTAAACGTAGGAGTCATAAATCACCGGTCAGCAAGAAATTGGTTTTGCAAAGTATCGTTCTGGAGGAAAGGTGGGTGGAAGATGAACCTTGATAGGATATGCATGGGACTTTGATGATATTCTAAACAAGGAGTCATAAATCACCCGGTCAGCAAGAAATTGGTTTGCAAAGTATCGTTCTGGAGGAAAGGTGGGTGGATGAACCTTGATAGGGTATGCATGGGACTTTGATGATATTCTAAACGTAGGAGTCATAAATCACCGGTCAACAACAATTGGTTTTGCAAAGTATCGTTCTGGAGAAAAAAGATGAACCTGGAAGGATATGCATGGGGACTTTGATGATATTCTAAACGTGAAGTCATAAATCACCGGTCAGCAATAAATTGGTTTGCAAAGTATCGTTCTGGAGAAAAAGGTGGGTGGAAGATGAACCTTGATAGGGTATGCATGGGACTTTGATGATATTTTAAATGAAGGAGTCCATAAATCACCAGTCAGCAAGAAATTAGTTTTTGCAAAGTATCGTTCTGGAGGAAAGGTGGGTGGAAGATGAACCTTGATAGGGTATGCATGGGGCTTTGATGATATTCTAAACGAAGGAGTCATAAATCAATGGTCGGCAATAAATTTGTTTTGCAAAAGTATCGTTCTGGAGGGAAGGGTGGGTGGAAGATGAACCTTCGATAGGGGTATGCATGGGGCTTTGATGATATTCTAAACAATAAGGAGTCTCAAATCACCGGTCAGCAATAAATTGGTTTGCAAAAAGTATTGTTCTGGAGGAAAGGTGGGTGGAAGATGAACCTTGATAGGGTATGCATGGGCTTTGATGATATTCTGAGATTAGGTCTCGGGTTTGACACCCGAAAGGAAGTCAAAGAAACAGAAACCAAAGGAATAATAATTCAGTGGAAGATGTCATGAAGAGATTAGGTCTTGGTTGGGATCCGAAAGGAAATGTTTATAAACAGAAAACCAAAGGAAATAATAATAATAATAATAATAATAAATAAAAATGTCATGAAGCCATTTCTTATTGAGATTAGGCCCCTGGGTCACCCGAAAGGAAATGTTTTGCAACAGAAACCAAAGGAAATAATAATAATAATAATAATAATAATAAAAGGTCAGTGGAAGACCCCATTTCTGATGTTATGGGTTGGGGATCCGAGGAAATGTTTATGCAAATAGAAACCAAAGGAAATAATAATAATAATAATAATAATAATAATAATAAAAGGTCAGTAAAAGATGTCATGAAGATTTCTGATGTTAGGTCTTGGAAAAGGTCGAAAGGAAATGTTTATGCAAGAAACCAAAGAGATTAGGTCTGGAAGGGTTGAGAATAACCCGAAAGGAAATGTTTATGCAACAGAAACCAAAGGAAATAATAATAATAATAATAAAAAAGGTCAGTGGAAGATGTCATGAAAGGAAAGGAAATGTTTATACAACAGAAACCAAAGGAAATAATAATAATAATAATAATAATAAAAGGTCAGTGGAAGATGTCATAGAAGCCATTTCTGAGATTAGGTCTGGGTTGGGACCCGAAAGGAAATGTTTATGCAACAGAAACCAAAGGAAATAATAATAATAATAATAATAATAATAATAAAAAGGTCAGTGGAAGATGTCATGAAGCCATTTCTGATGTTAGGTCTTGGGTTGGGATCCGAAAGGAAATGTTTATGCAACAGAAACCAAAGAAAATAATAATAATAATAATAATAATAAAAAGGTCAGTGGAAGATGTCATGAAGCCATTTCTGAGATTAGGTCTCGGGTTGGGACCCGAAAGGAAATGTTTATGCAACAGAAACCAAAGGAAATAATAATAATAATAATAATAATAATAATAATAATAATAAAAGGTCAGTGGAAGATGTCATGAAGCCATTTCTGAGATTAGGTCTCGGGTTTGGACCCGAAAGGAAATGTTTATGCAACAGAAACCAAAGGAAAATAATAATAATAATAATAATAATAATAAAAAGGTCAGTGGAAGATGTCATGAAGCCATTTCTGAGATTAGGTCTCGGGTTTGGACCCGAAAGGAAATGTTTACAAACAGAAACCAAAGGAAATAATAATAATAATAATAATAATAATAAAATGAAGATCAAACCATTTCTTGAGAAAAGGTCTCAGGTTGGGGAAAGATGTCAACAGAAAACCAAAGGAAATAATAATAATTTAAAACCTTAGGTGGAAGATGTCATGGGACCCTGAGATTAGGTAAATGAAAAAGGAAATGTTTATGCAACAGAAACCAAAGGAAATAATAATAATAATAATAATAATAATGCAACAGAAACCAAATAATAATAATAATAAAAAGGTCAGTGGAAGATGTCATGAAGAAGACCATTTCTGAAGGTAAATGCATATACAACAGAAATCAAAGGTTAATAATAAGTGGAAGATGTCATGAAGCCATTTCTCGTGTTGGGACCTGAAAGGAAATGTTTATGCAACAGAAACCAAAGTAAATTATAATAATAATAATAATAAGAAGAAGAAGAAGAAGAAGAAGAAGAAATCTGAGGTAGGTCATGATTGTTTACCTCGTGAAAGGGCAAAGCATAAAAAAAAAATCGTGACCATTGAGGAACAAATTAACCTTCAGAAAGGCTTCAGCTTCAAATATAAGACCCAGGGTGATTTTAAGCTATTTTTTAATTTTTTTTTTTTTTTTTTTGCATGCTCTCAAATACGGTAGTTTGTGAGACAACAATTCATGTTTGAATGTCACGTTGAATACAAGGGTAAGTCAGACACATTTTCAATAAACAACTTTAAACACGTGTACAATACAAATTTTGAAAAGGTGTTTTGAATTATTTTCCTGATCAGTCCCAACGATTCGGCAGATATTTACTTCGAGACATTTCGTTTTTTTTTGGTTTTTATTACTTGTCCAGTAATACCATCACACTTCATTCACGTGGCTTTCGGGATGCGACTCGCGTCTCGTACGGTACGAGACTTTGACGCCATCTCCCGGAAACCGTGAATTGTAGTGTTCTTAAGGAAGCGAAGAAGGAGAGGGAAAGTTAGTGGATGTGAGCGAGCGAACGAGAGAGAGAGAGAGAGAGAGGAGAAAGAGGAGAAAGGGAGATTAGCAAGAGGGCGAGTCAAAGAGAGAGAGAGACAGAAATTGAGAGAATGCAAGAGCGAAAGAAAATGAGAGAAATAGATGGAAAGGGAGAAGGTGAAAAGTAAGAAAAAAAAGTAAGCGATGAAAAGGGAGAGATAAAGAGAAAGTGGGGAGTGATAGCAAAAGAGATAAGATAAGAATATCTAGACAGATATGAACGGAGTTAGATACACAAATTTATCTAAATTGATAGATACATGGACGGATAGATAGATAGATAGACGTATGCATAAACACACACACACACATACACACATATATATATAAAGAGAGAGATGCATAGATGTAGATATAGATAGATATAGGTATAGGCATAAAAATATGAGTGAGGTTAACACCGATTGCATTACTCAGTATCCACTTTTATATTTTTATAACTACATGCGCTATATCTCTGATATTGTGTACCATAGAAAGACAGACCTACAGATAGATAGATAGATAGATAGATAGATAGATAGATAGATAGATAGATAGATAGATAGGGATGAAAGAACTGATAGATAGATAGATAGATAGATAGATAGATAGATAGATAGATAGATAGAAATGAAGGAAGTGATAGATACATAGAAAGATAGATGTGAGCAAACTAAGATAGATAGGAATGAAGGAATCAAGGAAGTAATAGATAGATAGATAGATAGATAGATAGATAGATAGATAGATAGATAGAAATGATGGAACAGATAGATAGATAGATAGATAGATAGATAGATAGATAGATAGATGTGAGCAAACTAAGATAGATGGGAATGGAGGAAGTGATAGATAGATATATAGAGAGGGATGAAATAACTGATAGATAGATAGATAGATAGATAGATAGATAGAAATGAAGGAAGTGATAGATACATAGAAAGATAGATGTGAGCAAACTAAGATAGATAGGAATGAAGGAATCAAGGAAGTAATAGATAGATAGATAGATAGATAGATAGAAATGATGGAACAGAGATAGATAGATAGATAGATAGATAGATAGATAGATAGATAGATAGATAGATAGATAGATAGATGTGAGCAAACTAAGATAGATGGGAATGGAGGAAGTGATAGATAGATATATAGATAGGGATGAAATAACTGATAGATAGATAGACAGATAGATAGAAATGAAGGAAGTGATAGATACATAGAAAGATAGATGTGAGCAAACTAAGATAGATAGGAAGGAATGAAGAATCAATAGAAGTAATAGATAGATAGATAGATAGAAATGATGGAACAGATAGATAGATAGATAGATAGATAGATGATAAATAGATAGATAGATAGAGCAAAGATAGTGAAAATGCAAACTAAGATAGATAGTTCGTTCTGTCTGAAAATGGATAGGACAGATAGATAGAAATGATATAGATAGATGAAAGATAGATTTGGCAAACTAAGATAGATAGATGAAGGAATAGATAGATAGATAAAAAAAAGATAGATGGAAGAGATAGGATGAAAGAACTGATAGATAGATAGATGGAAATAATGGAATGAAAGAAATTTAGATAGATAGATGGAAATGAAAAAAATAGATAGATAGAGGAAGAAAACTAGATAGATAGATAGATAGATAGATAGATAGATTTTCTACAGGATGCATTATTCTCCAAAAGCAACGAAAGTGGGTGTACTTGGTCAGACTAATTGGTGGAACAAGGAACAATTCCGGACTCTTTCATTTTCAGGACTGCAGACGACCATTATTGGAAGACTTTCTCAATGGCTGAAAAACAATACATTTTTTAAAAATTAATATGCCAAACATACTTCGCAAGTTTTACAAAAGAATCTGAGCAAAAGAAGAAATGAACCACAATTTGGAATTTTTATTTATATTCCTTCGAATAAATATTATCCCACTGTATCGTAGATTAAACAAATCTACCATGTATGTATATATGAAGGTTGTGCACATGCGCACACCGTTTATTGTGTGACAGTATCATTATTATTATTAGTAGTAGTAGTATTAGTAGTAGTAATAATAGGACGTACAATAGGGGGAGGGATGAGGGGTTTTATCCTGTCAATTCAGGTTTAGCTGTTAACAACTGTATGCGCCTTCAGTGTTTTGGCTCACAATAAATTTGCGTATGTTTAATTATTTTTTTTTTTTTAATATACTACTGTTTGAATGTTTGTATATGTGCGTGTAGCGCCCGAAAGATTAAAAAAAAAGAAGAAAGCATAATGTACTAAATAGATATTGAAACATTTTTCTTGATAGATAAATATATATATATATATATATATATATATATATATATATATATATGTGTGTGTCTCTTTTTTAGTTTTACTCACGCACAGTTCAAATTGAATTTTAAAAAAATGGCGAGAATGTCGAATCTTCATAGAAACAAATAAAAGTTATTTTCTTTAAAAAATTTTATATGATAAATGTTACATCTTAGCTTCATAAAAAGAATGTATATAGACATAGTTATATATGTAAATATATGTGTATATGTGTGTATATATCTATATGCATGTATTTGTTCAATAATGTATGTTTTTGTTCAATAATGTATGTATTCGTTTAATACTTTATGTATTTGTTCAATAATGTTTGTATTTATTTAATAATGTATGTATTTGTTTAATAAGGTATCTATTTATGCAATAATGCCTGTATTTGTTCAGTAATGTATGTATTTATTTAATAATGTATGTATTTATTTAATACTTTTATTTGTTCAAGAGTGTATGATTTGTTCAATCATGAATTTGCTTAATAATGTATGTAATTATTCAATAATGTATTTGTTAAGTAATGTAAATATTTGTTTAATAATGTATGCTTTTGTTCAGTGATGCAAGTATTTGTTCAATAGTGTATATATTTATTCATTAATATATATAGTTGTTTAAGAATGTATGTATTTGTTCCGTAATATATGTATTTGTTGTAAATGCTTATTTTACAGTTGCGAAATTCAAATTTTACCGCTATATTATGAAGTCTCTTACTTTTCCTCCAGATATAGTGGAATACATTTTACAAGAACTTTTGACACATAAATAAATGGATCCTTACGTGCTAATATTTTTTTTTTTTTTTTTTTCATGGTGTGCTTGTGTTTTTGTTGCGTTATGTTAGAAAGAAATGAATGTGTAATTGTATCAAGTTGTATGTATATATTATCATTTTTTTTACAAGTGCTTGTATATACATAAAGATGTACAAGTATGTACAGGAATAAGGGTATCTATGTATGTCCACGTGACCTCACTGGTCAGTCACGTGTCGCATAGAGGAATGGACTAACAGACACACAGCTGTACAAACAAACAAGTAAAGACGAGTAGAAATATATAGAGAGATGTTTATGACGAATTATGGATAGTGGGTGAGGTCGACCAGATAGATAGATAGATAGATAGATAGATAGATAGATAGATAGATAGATAGAGAGATAGAAATAGACTTAGACCGAATAAATACATATGCAAAAATTGAGATAGAAAAAAAAGCGAGAGAGAGAGAGAGAGGGAGCGAGAGAGAGAGAGAAGAACAGAATCGAATAACATGCATATATAGAGAGAGAAAGGAAGAGAGCGATAAAAGATAGAGAGAGATGGTAAGTGAGAGATATGTAATAAATAATATATATATATATATATATATATATATATATATATATATATATGTGTGTGTGTGTGTGTGTGTGTGTATATATGTATATATACGTATATATATATGTATATACGTATATATATATGTATATATACGTATATATATATGTATATATATATATATTTTATATATATATATGTATATATATGTATATATATATTTATATATATATATGTATATATACGTATATAAAATATGTATATATATATATGTTTATATAGAGAGAGAGAAAGAGAGAGAGAGGGATAGAAAAATAGATAGATAGATAGATAGATAGATAGATAGATAGATAGAAAGAAAAAGAATGCAAAGATGTATATATTCAGAAATAAAACAAACAGAAATTTGAGAGATATATTTGGCACAGAAATATATATATATATATATATATATATATATATATATATATATATATATATATATGGATATATAGGTATATTGATTGACTTTTTTCTACGTTTGAGCTAAGGACAGAAATTAGAGGAAGTTGATCGTATTTTTGCTGAAAAGTATGAAAGAAAAAGCTGAGAAATTTTGTACTTAGGCGTACTTTTGAGGCAGGCATATAGTTTCAGAGATAAACAGTTCAATTAGTACATAGGTAGGATTAATGGTCGGTTAGTAAATTAATATGTACATGGCTGTACATAAGGTAAGGTAGTATTGTGTCCACAGAGAGATATATGTATTTATATATATATATAGAGAGAGAAATATAGATAGACAGACAGACAAACAGACTGGCGGGATATGTCGGGTGTTAGGTTGTGACAAATAGCCAACAGGACATAAGGGAGCGGGTTGGGTCTTTTTCTTTTTCTTTTTTTTTTTAAATTTCTTATTTAAAGAATGGCAGCTTTCTACAAAAGACGGGTCGTTAGCTGTACAGGGAGTCAGATCGGTTGGTAGATAAGAGATAATTATGCAGAGGCGAACAAGCAGGCAGGAAGTCCAAAAGCAGGTAAATGAGCGTGTAAATAGATCGGAAGTTCATTGGAAATTATTGAACCGGAAGTTGTTTTTTTTCTCTTCTTTTTTTGCTTTTTTTTTTCCTTTGCTAAACAAACAGGTAGACTGATGAACGAACAGTAAGCAAACGCCTGATCACAGAGACAGGTAAACTAATGAAGCCGTATGATTTTTAAAATTGCAAATTATTAACAAATATCCAAGGTAAGATTAAAATAAAGGCGTTTATCGATAATGTACAAACTACATGTATAGCTTAGAAGATGGGCGAGAGAAAACGGTTTATTTATTAATTTTAATAACGTGGTTTTCCTTTTTAGCGAGTTAAGTTAAGGATATAAAGTTTTGTTAAGATTGGTAGAAACGTGTGAATTCATAGCAAAATATGTTATTAAAGTGATTAAGAGATAGAAATTAATGATGAAGTAATTGCACAATGGTCGATGAGTATCTGGAAGAAAATCGGTGAGGGCGGAGAAATGAGCTGAAATCGAAAATGGAAAAAAAAAGAAAAGGAAAGGAAAGGAAAGAGATTGTCTATAAAGTAAAAGACAGAATGAATTTTGTTTCCTTTTATCTTTTCATTTTTTTTTTTTAGAAAAACGTTAAGTACGACAAGGACAAAGCAAGTAAGAAAGAAAGAAAGAAAGAAAGAAAGGAAGGAAGAAAGAAAGAAAGAAAGAAAGAAAGAAAGAAAGAAAGAAAGAAAGAAAGAAACGGGAGAACAAGAAAAGAGAAGAAATGAAAGAGAGGGTGAGAAGCAAAGATGAAAGAAAGAACGAACGCACAAACGAACGAACAAACGAAAGAAAGAAAGAAAGAAAGAAAGAAAGAAAGAAAGAAAGAAAGAAAGAAAGAAAAAGAAAGAAAGAACTCTGGAAAAAAACGGAAAGAAGGGAAGGAGAGAGGAAGAAACAAGGATGAAAGAAAACAAAAACGAATGAACGAATGAAAGAAAGTGAGAAAGAACCAAAAAGAAGGGAAGGAGACAGGAATAAGAAAGAAAGAAAGAAAGAAAGAAAGAAAGAAAGAAAGAAAGAAAGAAAGAAAGAGAAATGGGTATAGAATAAAATAACAATGTAGAAAAAAAAAGAAAGAAAGAAAGAATGAGCGAACTGGGAAAAAAGAACCCGGAAGAAGACAGAAAGAAACAAGGGTGATAAAAGAACGAGTGAACAAATGAAATAAAGAAAGAACCAGATAGAAAGGAGACAGGAATAAATACGTAAGTAAGAAAGAAAGAAAGAAAGAAAGAGAGAGAGACAGAGTGAGAGTTGAGAGAAAAAAATGGTTACAGAATGTAGAAAAAATAGAGAAAGGAAAGAGATAGGAAGAGCTACAAGAAGAAAGATAGAGGTATAGAAACAAAGAAAGAGAAAGATTTTTTTACAAATGAAAGATAGTGGAAAAGAAAAAGAAAACAGGTCATGAAAAGTTCCCTAAAATCTTAATAAGAGACAGACAGAAGAGAAGATAGAAGAGAATGAAAGTAAGAAAGAGAGAGAGAGAGAGAGAGAGAGCGGAGAGAAGGGGAAGAGAGAGATAGCAGTTTATACAACTAGAAAAAGGGATATTTTTTCTAGCTTTAAGAAGGTCTTTTCAGTGATTCATTTAAATTACACATAAGCCCTAAAACTCAGTAACTTACTGAATGGATAAAAAAAAAAAAAAAAAAAAAAGAACGAAAATACGAGAAAAGATCCGACTGGACAGATGGCTACACTGGTTGATAGATGAATATGAATATATAAAGAGATTTACAGACAGATATATCGATACCGCTTGGGTAATCAGAAACCCATGCCAGTTTTGATGTGTCAGCCTTTTGATGCTTGTATATTGCAAATGGTTGATCTTGTCCTCTTTTGAGTGAAAATGTATGCAAGGTAGATTTTTAAAAAAATAGAATCCCATTACGACATTTTAATTACCTACATAATTTTTCTAATAGTATTTCTATTCTGCCAGTGCAGCTTGCATTAATTCCTGACCAATAACAAACTCTTTCTTCCTGATTTTCAACGTATTTCCATAGTAAGATCATTAGCAATGCATTTACATTATACATCTAATAGCCCTATTCTGCCAGTAAGGCTTGTATTAATTCCTGACAATGAACAAACTCTTTCTTCCTGATTTTCATTGCATTTCTATAGTAAGATCATTAGCAATGCATTTACATTATACATCTAATAGCCCTATTCTACCAGTAAGGCTTGTATTAATTCCAGACCATTAACAATCTCTTTCTTCCTGATATTCAATGTATTTCTTTAGTAAGAACATTAGCAATGCATTTACATTATACATCTAATAGCCCTATTCTGCAAGTAAGGCTTGCATTAATTTCTGATCATTAATTATCTCTTCTTGATTTTCGGTGTATTTCTATAATAAAACTATTAGCAAAGCATTTTTAATCAATTCACCCCAAGCAAGGTGATAATGCCACTAAGATGCAATGGGCTACCGGAAGTGAAAAAGAAAAAGGAATTTAGAATGAACCAGAACCTCAGTAATAGTATACATTTCAGAGTTTAGGCGGAGACGTTAGAAGTATAGAGATGAAGGAACCGGAAATCCGATCCTAAACAGGAAACAAGGGATAAATCTCTACTCCAGTTCAAAAACCGGGGTGGAGTGTGAACTGGACGATAAGTGAAGCTATCTATACATGTAATAGTATAGAATTATCAGTAACGCTTTGAATTAATTCCTGATCACTGACAATCTCTTTTCCAAATTTTTAGTGTATCACACAGGGGTTATGGGAGCTTTTCTGTGAGATGGGGAGACAGAATCCATAGCCACACACCTGAAGTAAGTATTTCGTACATATCGTCTCACAGAACATAGGTAAGTTTTAGATCAATCGATTTTTAATTCATCATGCCGAGTCACTCTCTGAAATAACGATGGACATTTCGACATCTAATACAACCGCTTTTAACATTCGCTGTGTCGCTGTATATGTGATCATTACCAGTAGACAAATATTCTGGCATTATTGTTTTCAGAAATTCTACTCGCAATATCCCAGAATGAGCCTCACGATTAACGGCTCGAACAGTAAGCGAATTGAGTTTAAAACGTTATCCGGTATAGTTTGACGTTATTACGGAAGGCATGAATCCACAGTTAGAACAATTTAATGCCGAGAGGTAGTTCATTATGGGAGTCAGGCGAGGAATATAACCGCATAAAATTTATTTTATATAGAAACCGCAGAAGTACCACTTGGTGTGGACCGTCCCATTTTTTTTTCAATAAAGAGGCTGCAGAAAAGAAAAGCAAAAACAAAAACAATTTTTCTACATTTTTCAATAGTAAAATCATTTATAATATTTTCCTATAGAAAAAATCATTTGCAATGCTTTCCTATAGTAAAAATCATTTGTAATATTTTCCTATAGAAAAAAATCATTTGCAATGCTTTCCTATAGTGAAAATCATTTGCAATGTTCTGCTATAATAACAATCATTTGTAATGATTTCCTGTAGTAAAAGCATTTGTAATGCTTTTCTGTGGTAAAAGCATTTGTAATACTTTTCTATAAGTATAACATTTGCAATGCTTTCGTATAGTAAAAATCATTTGCAATGCTTTCTTATAGCAAAAATCATTTGCAATACTTTCCTATAGTATAAATCATTTTCAATGCTTTCCTGTATGAAAATCATTTGCAATGCTTTCCTATAGTAAAAATCATTTGCAATACTTTCCTATAGCAAAAATCATTTGCAATACTTTCCTATAGTAAAAATCATTTGCAATACTTTCCTGTATGAAAATCATTTGCAATACTTTCCTATAGTAAAATCATTTGCAATACTTTCCTATAGTAAAATCATTTGCAATACTTTCCTATAGTAAAATCATTTGCAATACTTTCCTATAGTAAAATCATGTGCAACGCTTTCCTATAGTAAAAATAATTTTCAATGCTTTCCTGTAGTGAAAATCATTTGAAATGCTTTCCTATAGAAAAATCATTTGCAATACTTTCCTATAGTAAAATCATTTGCAATACTTTTCTCTAGTAAAAATCATTCGCAAATTCTTTTCCTATAGTAAAATCATTTGCAATGCTCTGCTTTAGTAAAAATCTTTGAATTCTTTTCCTGTAGCAAATTTCCTACGCTAAAATAATATTCAATATTTTCCTATAGTAAATTCAGCTGCAGTACTTTCCTAGATAAAACAATTTGCGACCCTTTCCTATGTTAAAATCATTTTTAATGCTTTCCTATAGTAAAAATCATTTGCAACGCTTTCCTATAGTAAAAATGTTAAGTAACGTTTTCCTGTAGTAAGATCATTTGCTATGTTTTATTGTAATAAAAAAAAATAATTTACAATACTTTCTTTACGTAACATCATTTGTATCGTTTTCCTATAATCAAAATCATAAGCAATGCCTTCTTATCATAAGTATTTTTCCTACAATAAGAATCATTAGCAATGCTTTTATATAGTAAAATTCCGAGTTTGAGGTTCACTTGATATGGTTTTCGATTTATGCTCCATGAAGAGTCTGGAGGAAAAAATAGCTATGACTATGATGTAATATTTTAGATGTTATCTGACTGATATTTCACAGCCTGTGCATATTTGCTGTCGTTAGGCAGTATTTAGTTAATTAACAATCGAAATAGCTTTATGGCTACTAACTTTTTTTTCAAAACGTGTGATCTCTACTACCTTGAAAAAAGTTCATCTAACCTAACGATAACTGGCTAATTTCACAAACACAAAACAAACGCAGGTTATTTATTTTATAATGCATGATGGGACACTTTAATGGCCGGAAAAATGGTGTTACTGATTTTACTAAAAAAGTCGTTCAAAAAAAATTTCCAGTCTACATTTTTTTTTATATGATTTCTAATTTTTTGCTAGCATTAACTTCTGACACTTGATAATCGTTTTTACCCTGATTTTAGTGTAGTAAACTCATTTACAATGCATTTTATAATAAAATTCAGTTACAGTGCAATTTATAGTAAAAAATATTTTAATGGTTCCTATATGTACAATTAGTTTTTTTTATAGTGAAGCCATTTAAAATACATAGTTACAGTAAAATCATTTAATGATTTTTGTAATAAAATCCCGTACAATTCGGTTTTATAGTAAAGCCACTTAAAATACATGTTTATAGTAAAATTGATTTCAATGGTTCTATCTTAAAACCATGTACAATACTTTTTATCGTAAAAACATTTACAGTGCAATTTGTAGTAAAATTATTTTAAATGGTTACTATAGTAAAATTATGAATAAATGCAATTTTAAAGTAAAATAATGTATAAATGCAGTTCTATAATAAAATCATATATAAATGCACTTTTATAGTAAAATGAAATGAAAGTGCATTTTTATAGTAAAATTATATATAAATGCATTTCTATAAGAAAATCATATAAATGCATTTTTATAGTAAAACCATATATGAGTGCATTTTTATAGTAAAATCATATATAAATGCATTCTATAAGATCATATATAAATGCATTTTTGTAGTAAAATCATATATAAATGCATTTTTATAGTAAAATCATATATGAATACATTTTTATAGTAAAATCATATATAAATGCATTTCTATAATAAGATCATATATAAAATGCATTTTTTATAGTAAAATTATATATAAGTGCATTTTTATATTAAAGTCATATATAAATGCATTTCTTTAATAAATTCATATAAATGCATATTTATAGCAAAATCATATATGATTGCATTTTTATCGTAAAATCATATATAAATGCATTTTTATAGTAAAATCATATATAAATGCATTTTTATAGTAAAATCATATATAAATGCATTTCTATAATAAGATCATATATAAATGCATATTTATAGTAAAATCATATATAAATGCATTTTTATAGTAAAATTATATATAAGTGCATTTTTATAGTAAAATCATATAAATGCATTTTTATAGTAAAACCTTATATAAGTGCATTTTTTTATAGGAAAATCATATATGATTGCATTTTTATAGTTAAATCATATATAATTCCCTTTTATAGTAAAGCCATTTACAGATTTATAGTAAAAATTATTTTCAATTATCTGCAATAAAAACATTTACAATGAATTTTTTATAAGATTATGTAAAATTATTCTCCATGGATTTTGTATTAAAGTTATTTTGAAAGATTTTTCTATAGTAATCACATTTAGAAAATATTTTTTACTGTTAAATTATTTTAAATGATTATTTCTAAAGTAAAATCATGCAGAATGCATTTTTTATAGTAAAGCCACATAAAATAAGTTTTTTAATAAAATTAAAATAAAATTATTTTCAGCTTGCGACGCATTTTACAGTAAATATTAAAAAAAAAATATTTGCAAAGCAATTTATAGCAAAAATTCTTTTCACTGGTTACTATAGTAAAATCCAAATGAATGTATTTTGATAGCAAATCCATTTACATTAGAATAATAATGTATACCATAAACTCATTTACAATAACGTTTTGTATTAAAATTACGTAAAATCATTTTCGTTTCTGTCTATATCAAACTCATTTATAAAG